TTCCCTTTCTCCTTCCCCTTGTTGTCCTCCTTCTCCTCCCCTCCCCCTCTCCTCCTTCTTCCCCCCTCCTCTTTCATCTCCTCCTCTTTCTTCTTTTCCTTCCTCTTCTCCTCCTTCTCCTCCCTTTCCTCCTCTTTCTTCTTCTCCCCCCCTGCTTCTTCTTCTCCCCGTCCCCCGCTTCTTCTTATGGTGATGATGATGTGAGATGATAAAATACCAAACCTACTCCAGAATCTGTGTAACCATCCCCTACTTGCAGTAAATGTTTTGGTGTCACTTGTTTCAAGGATCCCTTGCTGAAGTCTTCCGTAGGCTCAATGCTTTCTGGTTCAACATGCTGCCATCAACTGGAATATGTTTCCTGTTCATGTCTTCCATCTGCAAATGTAATGCCTTTTCCATCTTAATTAAGCATTTATCATGCCATAACTTTTGCTTTTTGAGATATGACAGCAAAACTAGCACAAATGTCTTTTCTCCCCTTCACAATTGCACTGATTTTTTCCGTAGCAACCTCAGCACATGATATTTTTTCTTTCCTTATAAGTCAAGAACTTTCACATTTTCACTGAAAGGAAGTACTTTATGACTTCTTTTGGCATATCCAAATTGCCAGCATCACTTTCATACCAAAGTGGTTACATAATTGCTCAAATAGAAGCTCAGTAAAATTATAATTCTTAAGATTGTGTTTTATAAATGCAGTTTATTTTGAAATGCATTCTCTGAGTCATTGTTTTCTTTCCTTCCATTTTCAGACGGTGTAAGTGTTGAATTCCAACTTTTACTATTTACCAAGTCCCCATAACATGAACGGCAGTAGTCGTTGCACAGGAGCAATCTTGTCACTAGGGTCATTTGGAACTCAAAGTCCATTCCTACAGACCAATGGCTGAATTGACTCCAGTGATAGGACTAACATGTTTACAGATAATTTTTCTTTAAGCCCTCTGATTGCTCTCATGGTGCTCAGGTAAAATCCAAGCCCCTTTCCCTGGTGCCCATGGTCCTGCCTGGACCAGGCCCCTCTACCTGAAATGGGCTGAAATAAGCTGGACAACTTTGCTGTACTTGGCAGGGTTTGCTCAGGCCCCAGGCCCACCCAGCTCTTCCTGCTCTGCCCACACAGGTCCTTCAGCCTGAAACACTTCCCCCTACCCTGATCTCACTCTTACTTGACCCCAGGTCTTAAATGTTATGTCCTTGGAGAAATTCTGACTTTCCATTCAAAATCATTGTTCCTGTTCCTCTTTCTCATCCCACCTTTCAACTTGCCATTAATGGCACTTACCTCAACATACAATCATACAATTTTTGATGTGATTATTTGTTGACTGTGCACATTCATCACACAGCTCCATTTTTTCTTTTCTGTATGCAGTGTTTTGGGGGCAGAGACTGGGAATGCTTAAGGTATTTGGAGGGGCAATTCTTTCTTGTTCAATGTATTATTCAGATTATGCCTTGATGATAATGCTTAGCAAACAACTCCAAATCTCAGTGCTTACTACAAACACTGATATCCACTCATGGGTCTGGTTCGGCTTTGTTTAGCCAGACTCAGCTCCCCTTCTCTCATATCCAGTGCTTCCAGTCAATGTAGACTTCAGGCCCTGCAGGGCCCCAAACACCATAACCCATACTGTATGGCAGGAGAGGATTATGAGATGGAGGAGGAGCTCAGTGAGTCAGTCTAGGGGCCTTGAGAGGGAATCTGGAACTTCTGGCCACCCTCTACAATCCACTCTCCCTATCCCCACTCCCCAGGTATCAACCCAGTTTCTCCCAAATCACTACCACACACAGGACCTGGATTTGGGGCTGTGTATGACTTTAACCCTGGGCACAGGGCAGGATGTGGCAGAGATGAAAGCCATTCACAAGGAAAAAGGAAGAAAATTTCCCATGTAACCATGAATATTTAGTTTGCCAGGGGACACTTATTGAGGACGCACCATTGAGGCTAGTGACAGAGATGAGTTTCTCCCCCTTCTTTCCCTGGAATTATCCCTTTCAGGTCCATCCTCAGAAGCGCTGTGCCTGAGCAGGACTGAGCAGGCTGACTCCCATATCTTGATCCCCTATCAGGGGTGGCACGTTTGGATGACCCCACAGGGACCAGGCAGAGTGGTAGGAGGGGAGAAAAGGGGAAGGGAAAGGTGGGCAGGACTGAGTAGGCACCTTGGCCCCTCCCAGTGCCCACCCTGTGTCCCTTTCACCAGACCTAGGTTCACCCCACAGAGTCCCTTCCTCCTAAGGCTGGTTCCTGGACACTCAGCACACCCTTTCTCACCTGCTACCCACCCAGCTCTACTTCTCACCCTACCTCATAGCCCAGCCACCAGTCCTCACCATGTCTGGCCTGCCCAGAAGGTGCTCCAGCCTATAGGTGATGATGACGGTAACATGGAATGACATGCTATTGTTCAGTCCCAACAGAGGTGTGGCATGGGAGGTCAATGGAGAAAAGGGAAGGAAAAGACATGCAGTGAGCACACTCAACAGTCCACTCAGGGGAGTGTGGAAGTGCCTGGAGGTATTTTGGTTATTTCGATGACTGGAGGTTGAGTGCTGGGGGACAGGGTACCAGAGTAGTATGCATGGGAGAGTCCAGCTGGGTGAACAACTGTCCCACCCAAGGTGTGGGTAGTCTCCCACCTCTACATGTCAAAATGCAAAGAAGGAAGGGAGTGAGGGAAGCAGAGAAGGAAGGAAAGAATGAAAGAAGGAAAAAAGAGGAAAGGAAAAAGTAAGGACAAATACACGTGGCACTAGCTAGTCACCTGGGCATGAAGAAGGCCAGCTGTTAGTCTGATCATTAGTTATGTTCCTGCTGCCACTAAAGCACAACCTTACCCAAACTCTTCTTTATAGATGTGAAACCTGAGGCCCAGAGAGGAGGAGGATTTCCCGCAGGCACATGGCCAGGGGTTTACAGATTTCTGGACACTCTGACCAGGATACCATATCAATTCCTGTGACCACCTGCCCAGTTCCCAGAGTTATCCCCAGGCCTGGGGCGGCAGAGGCACAGCAGAATGAGCTACTACCCTGCAGGGTCAGAGCACGCATTACTGAAAGTTACTGGAAGTCACTATTAACTAAGAGTTACCAGAGCTCAAAAGGGTAAAAACAAAAGCAGGTTTGGTCTGGACTGAAGTATCTGGGGTTAGACTCTGCCTGTCCCCATTAAGAGTTGCCTTCTATGGTCTGGTGAAATACCAAGGAAAGGGTGCCTGATATTCTTTGTGAACATCCAGGAGCTCTTCCAGCATTTAGCCCTAGCATGCCAACACAGGTACAGGACTGCGCTTTCCTTAGAAAACCGTTTCAGACTGCACCAATCATGGTGACCATATCGGTTTCCTAGGGGTGCCATTACAAGTTCCTAACTCAAAAACAAAACTGAGGAGCAGGGGAGAAGGTGGAGTGGAGAGAGACAATGTCAACTGTGACCTCCTTGATAGTGTCTCACCTGAGACAGATCTGAACTGGGGTACAGGAGACATTTGATAGCAGATTTTATACACCTGGAAAATGCTTCTATTTTCTAATATCTGAAGAGAGCTCCCCAAGATTTCATCCAGGGGGCCTTCCTCATGCCCAGGTGACTGGCTAGCTGCATCTGTTTGTTCTTACTTTACCTTTTCCTCCTTTCATTCTTTCCTTCCTTCTCTGCTTCCCTCACTCCCATCCTTCTTTTTGTTTTGACATGTAGAGGTGAGAGACTACCCACACCTTGGGTGGGATAGGTCTTCACTCAGCTGGACTGTCCCATGCATACTACTTTGGTACCCCATGATTTAGAAGCAAGCCCATGAAAAGGAGGAGAAAGAATAAAACTACTCTCTGCTTGCACTCTTCTGATAATCCAACCTGTTCATGAAAACACAGTTGTAAGAAAACATTCACGAGAAAGAGCTGACCCAGTACAGAGTCATAGGAGGCTAGGCCTGAGGGGTGAGTGTTGAATTGAGCTGAAGGAGACTGGGGAAGGAGACAAAGGCAGGCATAGGAGGCAAGTGTCACCCAGAGGAAGCAAGCTGGCCCTCCTCTGTACAGTCTCTCCCATGCCACTCTACCCTACAGACTTATCTCCACTCTTCCCTCACATACACTTAGGCACCAGCCAAACTTGGCCCTCACTTGTTCCAGAACATCTGCTGCCATTATCTCCCAGGCCAGCTCTGCCTGGACTATTTTCGTTGCCTCCCTCTCCCTGCTTCCACTGCAATCCACTCTTCCACCCTTACTAGAGTAGTGTTTGAAAGGGATAAACATCCCCAGCCTTGCTTAAAACCCTCACTTCCCTTTCACTTACAATAAACCTCGAGTTTTAAACCTTGACAGTCAGAGCCCTGGAGCACCATCCTGCCCCTGGCTTCTCTGCCCTTACTCGCTGAGCTCCAACCACACTGGAAGGGCATCTTTTCTCCAGCCCTAAGGACACTGCATATGCTCTCCTCCTGCCTACAGGCACATGGCCTCCCAGGTCTTCACGTGCTGCTCCTTCCAGCCTTCAGGTCTCAGGTCAAATTCCACTTCCTCCGTGAGGCCCTCCTGAATCACCCACTGTGCCTCTTTCCCACGGGGCTCTTATATCCCCGCCTGGAAGTTTTCTAAAGGAAAGCAGAACAGGGACACACAATAAGGGCTCACAAAACAAGTGAGTGAAAAAAGTAAAGAGAATTAAAGAATGGTTAGCAGGACTTCAAGGTCACTGGTGGTGTTTTGCAGTTTATTTTTTAAACGCCCTCCTATCCCCATTCCAAACTGGCTGGTCGCAAAGTAGACGTGAACAAGTTACCACGCCCACTTTAGACAAACGGCTGATACGAGAACGAGGCCTCCACCAGCAGGGGGCGACCGAGCTCGCCCCGCGACGCCTCGCCCCACCTCGCCTAGCCACGCCATGCCCCTCCTCTCCACCACTGGGCTCCGCCACGCCCCTTACCCCGCCCTTGCGCCGCGCACGTTTGCCGCCTCCACTTCCTCTTTGGAGGAGCTACAGGCTCGTTGTTTCCGGTATTACCACGTGGAACTCGCGGGCTTGGATGCTTTCGACATGGCGGTGTTTGCAGGCCCAGCCAAGCCGCTCTTGTCCCTGGACCCGAAGGAGGAGGCCAAGTTTCACAACAAGGTGGCTCAGGTTCGCCGGCGCGCAAGTAAGGTGAGCGGCGTCCTTTGTCGGACTGCTGGAGGAGGCGGCAGACGGAGTCTGGGAAGTCTCTGGAACTGCGCCGAATCTTGGGCCGTTCCCTCCGCGCTTGTCTCGCTCGCCTTAAGCCTCTGCTACCCCCATGGTCTCCCAGGGCGGCCCCCAATCTTACGAGCCTGGAGCCAAGGCTACCCGAGACGGGAAGATTGATGTTGACCCGGAAATGATGGGTTTTTCCAGGTTAAGGGTCCTATGGTGGGGTTAGGATCCTCCTATGGAGCTAAAGGACATGATGAAAGGGGAGAAAAAGAAAAACGAATGCTCGGAATGGCTTTCTCATACCGTAGATTGACCCTAGACTTCAGCTGTCGTCCTTTCTCTTTGCCCCCGAATTCTGGAGGTTTTTTTGCCCGGTTAGTGATTTGGAGGTTTTTAAAAGACATTAATTGGCAAGTTTATTTGCTAGATAGGGCTCCTGACATCCCAAGTTATATTTGCCTTGGTTTTTAGCATGAAATAGACGTTTGGAAAACTTAAAAGTTCTTGCAAGCGCATGATGACTGAGATGTTGAAAGGTTTGTCGGCATCGTGAAGGTTAACAGTTGTCTGGAAATTGTTGGATTGGGTGGGTGCGAATAAACGGTGATCTCCGTACAAAATTGAAGGGTATGTTTATGTGGAGTTCTCTGGCCCAGTGATTTAAAATAATGTGTTAGAGATTTACCTGCTTAGCCATTGAGTGAACATATAGTAATTGGGCATTTAAATTGTGCTGGGGCTGAGAAGACAATCTGCTTGACGATTGTCTTGATGGGAGAGAGAGACTTAAACAGCTAATTCTTTAGTTGCTGCTCTGGTAAATGGAAATATGGAATAGGTTCATCTCTTGTTTTGGAAGTTTTGTTGCAATGTGGTTTTGTTGTTGTTGTTTTTTAAAGTATTTTCCTGGTTTTTATGTCTTTAAGCAACAGAAGCAAGAAAAAGAAAAACTTACTCGTGGAGTAATTTATGTGGGCCACCTACCTCCAGCACTTTATGAAACCCAGATCCAAGCATATTTCTCCCAGTTCGGCACTGTTACGAGATTTAGACTGTCCAGAAGTAAAAAAGTAAGATTTTTTGTATCGAAATAGGTTATGTGTTGTATTTTTCAAAAGTACATCATCCTTAACAGTTTAGAGAGCATGTTCACATGTTATTATCACACTTCACACCAGAAAAAGGGGGCATGGGTGAGGTTTAGAACCTGAAACCACCACAAAACTGTAAATGTTTGTTTTGCTATTAAATAAAGTGGTTGCTCCAAATCCTCAAATTAAATTGACAGTTTTGGTAAATGAATCATATTTGTCCTGTGGCTACCAAGTCAGCTGTACATGAACTTAAGTTTCAGGAACAGGTTCATCTGGTATTAATTAGCCTCTGGTGTATGCATTCCTGTAATAGTAAAAGTGGCTACCTATGTTCAAGGCCTGGCTTTTACGGGTAATTAGTTGTATAACCTTAGACAAATTATATATCCTCTGCAGGATATATAGTTTAGTTTTCTGATTTGTAAAATATGAATAAAACAGCATCAACTTCCTAGGAGTATCTAATCAAAGATTAAACGAGGTAATGAATGTAAGGTTCTTAGAACAGTGCCTGATACAGTAAGCATGTGTGTGTGGAATGGGGGCGGGGGGGAGATGTCTTCCCTATCTCATGATTACCAAAGGTTTATGTGGTTTTTTTTCAGTAATAGAGGAATGGCTCACTTTCTCACCGTACACATACATGTTTATTGGTTGTAACCATAGAAACTTCTCATTGTTGGAATCTCTGTTTTTCTTCATGCAATTTTTCCAGTTTTTCATTTGAATTATAACATTAAAGTTAAATTTAACATCTGATTTGGTACATGAGGGGATAACGTGTGCAGCCATCATCTACTAGTTGTCCTGAAATTGCAGGTGTTAAGTTTTGTCAAAGCAACATCTCAACATCAAAAAGGAATTTTTAAAGATTTTATTTATTTTTAGAGGGATGAGAAGGGAGGAGAAAGAGGGAGAGAAACATCAATCCATCTCCTCTCCTACATGCCCCAACCTGGGACCAAAACTGAAATGCAGGCATGTGCCCTGACAGGCAGTCAAATCAGCAACCCTTTGATTTGTGAGATGGTGCCCAACCAACTGAGCCACACTGATCAGGCCTAAAGGGGATTTTAAATTTAAAATACCCTGATATTTATCTCATCCTAACCAAAATAACACATTTTCTGTGTATTCCTCCTCTTCTCGTCATTTGCCTATTTTTAATGGTTGCTTCAAACATCCTGACATCTTCTGGAGAATGATTTAGTGACTTTTTAGCTTTCCACCATTTCCTTTTATCAGGTGTTAGCCTGATCTCATATCAGAACAAAGATCATCTTCAGATCTTTGTTCTTTCAGAAATAGATTTTAGATATACTTGAGGTCCCTTTTCTACCCTTTCCCAGTCCTCTGCATCTTCTTCCCATGCCTAGGAAATTACTGTTCGTGAACTCAGTGTTTTTCATTGCTGTATGTGTTTTTGAAATCTTTACTACATGTATCAGGATACGTTGTATAATATTATTCTATTATTTACAACTTAATTTATTCAACAGTCTGTTTTGAGCTTTAACACTAGTACATTCATTGTCATTGCTGTGTCCCTTTGCTTGAACATACTCAAGTTTATTTACCTTTCTGTTGAACATTAAATTTTTACAGTATTTTACTCTTATAGGTGAAGCTGTTTGGAACATTCTTTGCACAGGTGTAGGCAACTTTGTCTAAAATAGTATATTTCAGACTTTGACCCAATAATAAAAAGTAAGTTTTATGGCAGAAGTCGGCACACATATATGTGTATGTAAATATAACTGAAAGAAAAGTCATATGAGACTACTTTTCAGTTGTTTAAAAATACCTTTTTGACCTACTTAACTGATTTTGTTGAGTGTCATTTATTAGCCATTGGAATTGTCTCTTTGTGAATTGCTTATTCGTATCTTTTGCCCTTTTTATTGCCTTTTTCTAAAACTTTTCTGCCTTTTGTGTGGGATATTTTGTAAAGGTTTTTTTAATATACTGCAATATAATCATTGTTTCCCCCCAGCTTTGTATTTTAAAATTTTTCAAGTCTATAGAAAAGTAGGAAGAATAATAATACAGTGAGAATAAACATGATTTAAACAAAAATTTTAAAAATGAGAGCAGAAATAAAAGAAATGGAGACTACCAAAAAAAAAAAAGGGAACAATAATACAGTGAACATCCCTACCCTCTTCTAGATTCACCCATTATTAACATCCTGACACATTAGCTTCATGTCTCCATAGCTATATAAAAACACACTTTTGTTTTACTAAACCTTTTGAAGAGAGTAGCAGTCATAATACTTTAACAACAAATCCTTTGTCGTAAATCTAGGAATCAGGACTTTTTTCAGAATTGCAGCATACTAGTCTACCATATATTTTCCATCTTCATATATTCTCCGGTGTGTGAGTTGAAGTTGGAATTAAAGGTGCCATAATGTTACTCATTAATGAGGGTAGTGTACATTATTTAAATTAACATTTTAGGAGTCTAATGATGATTACAGTTTAATTGTTGTAGTTTTGTGGATTTTTTAATTGCAGACTGGAAATAGCAAAGGCTATGCCTTTGTGGAGTTTGAATCTGAAGATGTTGCCAAGATAGTTGCTGAAACAATGAACAACTACCTTTTTGGTGAAAGACTCTTGAAGTGTAAGTGCTCTTATCATTCCTTAAGGTTGCCTTGTTGCTTGCTGCTGATGGGTGGCTGTGGTGTGAAGGATTTCTTAGCTACTTAGACATCTTACTTTATTTCTGGGATTAAGTGCATTTTTCAGACAGATTCTAATTAGAATTTTTAAATCTTCCAGAGTAAGAGCTGTTTTTATCTTGAGATGGAATTGGGACAAGTAACTTTAAGGAGTACATAGGAAGTACAACTAACCCACAGTAATGTGATGTGGAAGGCTTCCCTGAAGAAATATAACTTAGATCGAAATTTAAAGATTAAATAGGAGTGAGCCTGGTTTGGGGGAAGAGAATAAAGATAAGAGATTCTGGCTGAGGGAATAGCAAATGGCAGAACTAGAGGTGGCAACAGTATTTGCTTGTGAGGAAATGTAAGAATAGCAAGAGATGAGGGAAAAGAAATAGAAGAAACATGGGGAGGTCAAGTCGTTGAAGTCGTTATATATCCTGAGGACAGTGGAAGACCATATGGGTCCTAGATAGAATAACATTAAAGGTAAGGAATCATATTTCAGAGCTAGTCTCAATGACATCAACTGCATCTCTTATGCAGAGGGAGCTTTAAGGAGTAGAGGAATGACAACACCAGAATAGAAGTTCATCCTGCAGAAAGTAGAGCCAACTCGGCATTCCAGACCACACCTCTCTGGATCCCAGTGCCCTTCAGAGGCAGAGTTAAGTTTCTGGGTGCTCACATGGAGTGTGACATCCCACATAGTTAAGTCACGCACATCTGATCAAGTAGCTGTTGAGGCTGCCCAAGTAGCATCTCTATCTCAGTTCCTGTTGCTATGACAGAGAATCCCAGTAGCCTTATTAAAGTCATGGGTTCATTCGCACATTAAAAACATGGCTCTTGTCAGGAGAAAATGGGCTGAGCAGGTTAACTAAAAGGTGTCAGGACTACATGTGCAGGATCAACACTGCTTATACCCTTCTCCCACTTGGTTGAAAACTTTTTTCTTTTTACCAATAGGTCATTTTATACCACCTGAGAAAGTACATGAGGAACTTTTCACAAAGTGGCATATTCCATTTAAGAAGCCATCATATCCAGCAGTGAAACGGTATAATCAGAACCGGACACTTCTTCAAAAGCTGCGGATGGAGGAGCGATTTCAAAAGAAAGAAAAATTACTCAGGAAGAGATTAGCTAAGAAAGGAATTGATTATAATTTTCCTTCATTGGTAAATATTCCTTCATGAAATATATTTTGTGGCTTTTCTTGGAGGTGGGCTTTGTACCTCACTAGTTGCAGCATGATTATGGTTTTGCGTATAAGGTTTCTAGCCCCATGCTTAGCACATAGTGGGGTCTGACTAAATTTTTAAAACATTGCTTTGTAGGTTCTTCCTGAAAGTGTTTCAGAGCAGATCCAATTATCCATTGTGCAGAAGAGGAAGTTCCAGCAAGGGATTAGCTGATTTGCAAATTTTCATATTTTTAAATTATCAAAGTTAAACCACTAACCAAAACCATAATGCTCATAGATTACTGTCAAAGGTGTCTACCAGAATTAAATGGTGTTTGGTATTATGTTATCAGTAAATTGACCATCCTTTTTATACCATTCTAGTTAAAATTTTGTTTCATGTTTTTTTTAATTGGAAATATTCTTAAAATGTACATCAAATTTTACCAGTATCACCTCTGTGAATTAAATGAGTAGGAGTTGAACTATAGCAAACCTATTTAATGAAAATAAGTTTGTACAGATTTTCATTACATCTCAGTATTGCCTTTCTTACATTTCATTACATCTCATTATAGCTCTTGTATCCTTGCCTGTTGAGTCTGTCCTCCATCTTTGAGTAAAGAGAGCTATGTACCTTTTATTATAAAACAAAAATGCAGGTCGTCAGGGTGTGGCTAGTATAGGTGAAGGTCATATTTCTTGTCTAAATCTTGAGGTTACTTTGGATCTTTCATAGACCTTCTCTGAGCTAATTTGTTGTAAGAGGTGGCATCTAGTCCTAGGGTGACTGACTAGAAGACTGAGTTACCAACTTTTGGGCCAGTTCTGGGTTGTTAAGTCTTTGCCTAAATCCTAAACACAGTCCTTGCCAGTATGTGTTTAAAAAGCATGATGTCCCAATCTGTGGGCCTGGTACCTTCATGAACCATTTAGGAGCTGGTGCACTGAAGCAGGGTTCTGCAGGACAGCTCCAGGCTTCAGCCCCACTTGAGGTTCTGCAGCTTCTGCCCATTCCTCAGGCGTCTCTGCTAGTTTTTGCTTTTTACTTAAATCATTCACTGTACTGGGAGATTATGCTTTTTAAGTTGAAATGCTTTGTCACTTAGGAAGGATCTGCTGATAATATATATAAGGAGCTAATGCTAAGTTAAAAATGTAAATATGTGTTACTGCCTGTTAATAACTTCTGTATGTTTACTTAAGATTTTACATAAAAAGGAAAAAAGCAATGCTTCAAACACTGATCTTCAGAAATCCACGAATAGCCAGGTAAAAATTTTCTTTATATTATGTGCCAGGCATTAGAGAAAGATTAATGGGAAAATATATTCAAACTATTGCAACTGATAATTATGCAAATTGATGAAGTTTCTTAAAATTTATTGAAGGTTTTACCTAAGAAGAAGAAAAAAAGGGTTTCAGCCACACCTAACACTCCCGAGAGGACTCTGAATAGCCAGGTAAAATTGTCTTCAATATTTTGGGAAAAGCAGTTTCTGCTACTGTCACTTCGTTAAAATTTCAAAATTAATATTGTGACTTTAGCACATATAGTGAGCTCATTAGCAACAGTTATCACTGTGAGTATTACTACAGTTTCTACCTCTTAAGCAGAGTGATTTATCAGAAAGGAGGCCACAATTTTTATGAATGTAAGATTTTAAATCGAGCTTTCTACCTCATACCCTATAATGTAGCATGTTTTAACTATGAATTTTCATACTGAATTTGATAAGCACCTTTAAACTCTTTATTATGTGCGATTATAGCACTGAAAGATGAAATAGGCCATAAGTAACACAGCACAACTTGTAAAAATAGAGGGGAGATGTTTATGGAGGGAGGGGTAAAGTCATTCCTCATATCTTCCCGCATTTATGTATTATAATATTTTACTTGTTGAATCCAGGACCCCACACCAGTTTGTACACCAACATTTTTGGAGAAACGAAAATCTGAAATCGCTGAAATGAATGATGATGAAGATAATGAAATAGTTTTCAAACAACCCTTATCTGGCATAAAAGAAGGAACACAAGAGACTAAAACACCTACGCATTCAAGGAAAAAAAGACAAAGAAAAAGTAAACAGTGCTTCTGAATATATTACATATAATACTTTTGGAAATGTGATATTACTCTGATGACTTGAGTTTTTTGTATTTAAATAGATAAAGTAGAATTCAGCTCTTGACAAGATCAGAAGAAACACTGTTGGTTCATGTCGATAAGGAAAGGAATCAATAATTGTGGCTTGCCTGCCCTAGCTGAAATAGAGGAGTGCATACACCATCTTACGGTAGTCAGGCTCACGGTGCCTCTGTCCCAGTCTCTTCTCATTTTCTTGGCAGATTTTATCGCTGTCTCTAGTGACTCTACCTATATAAAAGGGTCACCACTAACTGCAAGTTTAAGTACTAAACTGCAGTATGTGTTGTATAATACCAAATAAAGAAAATAAAATCTTGATTGATTGACTGTATGGTTCTCTGTGTTAGGTTGTGCATTTAACCCATAAGGGTATTTAGACTTCAACATCATATGATTGAAACAGTTAAATTATGGAGAGCAAGAAGGCAGCTCAACTATTGATACAGATTTATTTTATGTATATATGATCATTTACTAAAATTAGTTTATGGTATGCTAGCATGGGTTACCAACTACAATTTTGTATCAGTATCAGTGTGGAGTTCTGTTTTGTGGTTCAAATGGTGACCAGCAAATGAACTTTTTAAAAAAATTTATTTGTATGCAGTTGGGACTTCGGTGTCTTGAAGCAAAGTAGGTTTTCACTTCAAATATTTTTAAGTTCCTGATGCCCTTGAAATGTACTTTTGTATTAACTAATCCAGATTCATTAAAAACTGCCATCAAACACTTTTTCATCGAGTATTTGTTAAATCTTTAATATGATATTAACTAAGTTGGTTGCATTTGTGCTACAAGAGTTTAGTTGTGATAGAGACCATATACAGTACTCTCATTGTTTAGTGCTGCTGGGTACACTACAAGTGGGAGTGACATGGCTTTAGTGTGATGTACTTTTTGTGCCACATGCATTATGGTACCATAAAGTTCATGTACTTTTATCAGTACATACCCATCATGTCAAAAGAAAAGAAAATGAACTTGAATGCACAGTAGACTGGATTGTTTTATCAATTCTGATGGCAAAGCATTGTGTCTACTTTGCAATGATACTTCATCTGTCCTCAAAGAATACTCATTACAGTATTCCCAACTTACAAAAAAGCAACAGCCAGAGAATTAAAGATTTTAAATGGAATATCTCAGCAAGTTTTTTGACCCCAAAAATTACAAGTCTGTAACTAAATTTTCCAAGTGCCTTGTTAGTTAAGCATGGAAAGCCCTTTACCAATGATATGGTATTTAAATTGTGTTTGATTGCACCCACTGCAGAAACAGGTCCAAATAAACTTTTTAAGACAGCCTTTAAGCAAGAAAGTTACTTGAGTTAAGGAAGTAACGTAATAGTCAACTTAAAAACAAGGCAAATGACTTCTGGTCAAGATGGCATCAGTAGACATGACTCGCCTCCGCACAAAATTAAAGCTAAAATACAGAACCACCATCACTCAGAATTGTCAGAAACTGAGTTAAATGGAACTCTGACAACTATGGAATTAAACCACATCCATCCAGACCTGTAAGAGGGACACACATGGAACAAGCCAGTTCTGCACACATATGCATTAGTTAAAAGTTTCAAATGGATATCTCAGGAGCAAGGAGTCCCAGCGCCACACCAAACCCTGAAGCCCAGAGTTCCAGTGCCAGGAAGGTAAGTCCCCACAACTGCCTTCAAAAACCATTGAGGATTGAGTCAGTGGAACAAACTCTTAAGCCCCCAACAATTCCTCTTAACTCACACAGAGACTCATCTATGTAGACCCTCCCTCTGCACTCCAGCGCTAGGGTAGCAGCTGGAAAGGCACCAGTGGTACATGGAGAAACAAGGATCTAGCATCAAGGCAAGTAAAGGCTATTGTCCATTTCCTAAACCATCTTACAAGGTCTGCAAGTTGGTGGCATATCTGAGACAACATTGCACTGGCTTAACACCTACCTTGGAGATCCCTAGAGACTGCCCCACCTAACTTGCAGGCACACCCAAACTGGTTTTCCATATGAAATCTTGGCTCACACTTAAGGTCCCAAATCCTGTTAAACAAGCAGCAGCTGGCCTCAGTGAGTCCTAAGCCCAGCTCTAACAACAGCCAGCCTACATTCAAGCTTGGATTGACCTGGGAAACTCCAAGACCAGCACAAGTACTGTCCAACTCAGATTGCTTTATAGCTCAGGCAAGATGGCCCCAGGCAAAACAGGTAGGGGTGGACCTTGGCCTGCACCACCTGGGTACTCCAGGACCAGCGCACCCAATGAACAGCTACAGACCACAGCACCACCACCTGGTCCCTGCACAGTTAATCCTACACAGAGGGCAGGAGGTGGTGGTCAATGGTCACAGCAAGTCCTTGCTGCTGACCGGCCTAGGTAAATCCCTTCCACTGACCTGCCAACAGCAACCAAGGTTCAACCACAAGAGAAGGGTATACTCAGTTTACACAGATGGTGCACCTCAAGTGGTGATAGCCAAGGTGATAGGGGAGGCTGAGCCACTGGACCCTACAGGAAGTGACTCATTCAGGTTCTCACAGTGATTCAAGGCAAAACTAGTATTTCCCTTAATATTGGACTTCCCTACACAGAACAGAAAACCCAGCATAATACGTGCACAAGCAGGAGGTAGATTTCTGTTGTCATGGAAGAGAACTATAGATGTGGACAGCCCCTGCTGAACATTGACTGCCCACCCTAGCAGGAGGCCATCATCTGTCTTTATGACCAAGCACTTGCTGCTGGTGTCCATCCCCAAGGCTGTGTTTGGTGCCAGACGGCTGCTGGAGCAACAGCCTGAACCATGTCCACATTTTAGGTTATGGTGCATCACCACATTAACTGTCATAATTTCAGCAGCACATCATTACACATGATTGCAAATACAAGTGCTGGGTGGGTGTTGAGCTTGGAGAGGCTGCACTTACTCATGTGGTCATTCAGGAAACAAGAGTTCTCCCACCACGTGCCTTCTTTATCTTTAGGACCCCCATCACTTCTGCATCCATCAGCACAAATGGGGAGACCATGGAGAAATGCATGTAGGAGGATTTTACAGGCCAGGTCTGCACCCAGTTTCTTTCTTCCTGTATTGTTAACAAATGACTTTTTATGTAACCACAAGAGCAGCTGGGAGAGACTGTCTAGCCCTGGGCCCTAAGAGAGTAAAATAAGTTTTGCTGCAGAGCTAAAGATCTTTGCCCCATTGAGAAATTCATTCAGTTTCATAGTGTTTTTTACACCAGTAACAAGTATTTACCATATGCTAAGTGCATACTAAGGGCTAAAATGTAATTTGATCAAGCAGCAATTGACTTGGGAGAAGCTCCACATCAAAGGAAGACCGTAAGACATGGTGTGATATGTCTGGCATCCTCAGAGAAAACAGTCAAGCATAAGAGCTCTGAAAGTCTGGTGAATAATTCTGAATTTGAAAGCTGCCTGGAATAACAGCAGGTGAAGTCCACTTTCGGAGAAGAAGGAGGTGTGCTGGCTGGAGGAAGATGGCAGTAGGAACAACAGAAGCAGGTCTTTCCTGTACAAGATTTTAGAAGGAATACTATGCAGCAATGAAACATATATATGGTAGAAATCATAATGAAAGGGATAATTGCTTATATAAAGTGAAAAACTGTCTGGGGATACAGGGTAATCCCATTTTTAATTTTTAAAGAATTTATTTTTTTTCAGAGAGAGGAGAGGGGAGGGAGAAAGAGACAGAGAAAAACATCTATTTGAGAGAGAAATATTGATTGGCACGCACCCCAACCAGGGAACAAACCTGCAACCAAGGCATGTCCTCTGACCAAGCGTCTGAACTGTGACTTTTCACTTTGTGGGATGATGCCAAAACAACAGAATTTAATCTTATTTTTATAGTTTTTTAAAATAATGTTTTTCAGATTAGGTTAAAATTTATTTATATCTCATTTTATCTTTTAAATTTAAGTATAGTTGATATACAATATTTTTTTGCTTAGTAATTTCTTTTTAAATTTATAAATCATGTTTATTCTATTAGAGTTGTCTCAATTTTTACCCCTGTACCCCTTTCCACCCATCCAACGCCCACCCCCCACTCCCACAGTCAATTCCCACTCTGTTGTCCATGTCCTTGGGTCATTCATACATGTTCTTTGTCTACTCCCTTCCCCTTCTTTCCACCATTGTCCTCTTTCCCCATCCCCTCTGGTCACTTTCAGTCTGCTCCATGTTTCCATGCCTGTGGTTCATTTTGTCTGTTAGTTTATTTTGCTGAATAGAGTCCACTTATAGGTGAGATCATATGGTATTTGTCTTTCATCAACTGGATTATTTCCCTTAGCTTTATATTCTCAAATTCCACCCATGTTGTCGCAAAACGTAGGAGTTCCATCTCTCTCTCTCTCTTTCTTTCTTAAATGCAGATAGATTTTATTTTTTTAGATGTCAAAGTTAATTATAAAATATGAAAAAAATTTAAAACCATTATAGTCTCAGCAATTAAACCAACATGATGTCAGCATAGGTAATCAAGTAGATCAATGAAATATAATGAGCATTCTAGAAACAAACATATATATCTAACAATATAATATATGATTAAGTTGATATTTCAAATCAACGGGCAAAATAAGGCTTATTCAACAAATAAGGTGCATGGACCACTATTACTTGAAATAAAACAAATATAGAGCCCTATTTCACACATTATCCCAAAAATATTCAGGTGAGTTAAAAATCAATATGTAGAATCTAAGGAGTTTTAGAAGAAAATGGAACAAATATCATTCATGACCTGAAGTAAAATATTCAAACCCAGAAGTTATAAAGGAAATATTGACAATATGACTATATTAAACATTTAACTATATAGGAATATACATACATAAAAAAAGTTAAAGGACAAGTAATAGAATAGAAAAGTATTTGCAACACATCTAAAATATGGTCAATAGGGTTTTTAAAAAAATTTTTTTAGGGAAAATAGTTCTACAAACCTTTAGTCAAAAAATAGAGAATATGAAAACTCATTTAAAGCTTTTTTTAAAAAAATAGAAATAGGCAAGAAATATACTAAAACAGGATTAGTTTCAACAAATACTAAAGGAACAATTAAAATGACATCATTGTCACAATCAGATTAATGAGTATTAAAAATACTGGTAATACCAAGTATTCGCAACTCTGAAAGGAACTGGGTATTCATAGAAACTTTCTCTTCATCTTAAAGCAGTCCCTTTGCATATTTTGTAGTGCTGGTTTGGTGGAGGTGTATTCTTTTAGTCTTCTTTTGTTTGGGAAACTCCTTATTTCACCTTCCATTTAATTGAGAGCCTTATGGGTAGAGCAATCTTGGTTGCAGACCTTTGCTTTTCATTCCTTGGAATATTTCTTGCCATTCCCTTCTGGCTTTCACTGTTTCTGTTGAGAAGTCAGCTGCTAGGCGTATTGGGGCTCCTTTATATGTTACTACCTCTTTCTCCCTTGCTTGCTTTAGGATTCCCTGTTTGTCTTTGATATTTGCCATTTTAATGATGATGTGTCTTGGAGGGGGCCTCATTGGGTTCCTCTTAAATGGGATCCTCTGTGCTTCCTGGACTTGTGCGACTTTTTCTCCTCTCCAATTAGGGAAGTTTTCCATCATTACTTTTTCAAAGAGGCTCTCTATCCCTTTCTTATCCTCTTCTCCTTCTGGTATCCCTATTATACGGATATTATTACATATTAGGTTGTCCTGCATT